AGAAAGAAAGAAAGAAAGAAAGAAAGAAAGAAAGAAAGAAAGAAAGAAAGAAAGAAAGAAAGAAAGAAAGAAAGAAAGAAAGAAGATGTTTTCAGTAGGGAACTATAAAAAGGTTTTACAGTTAGGAAGAAAACAAATACAGCATAGGTAGAAAACAAAATGTTCATGGTTTGGAAGCACTGCATCAGTGAAAGGGTTTAGGTGTCTTCACTGACAATAAATTGAACAATACAGCCAGCAATTTGAGCCTATTGATAAAAAAAGCTAAGAAGTTTTGCACTGTGTTAGAAGAATCACTGTCACTCAAGATGTATGAGGTCTTTATTCTTTACAACTCTGTGCTGGTATGATTACTATGTACAATTCTGTACATGTCCAGAAGAATATTGATAGCAATGGAAGAAGTTGACAAAGATTATGCAGAGCTCATACCCATATGATCCATATGATTCTAGGTCAGTGCCTGGAACTCAGTACTTGACTCTGTTGTTACATCTTCAAACCCCCAAATTTTAACCTTAAACTGTCTACCATGGACCTCACTCCATTCCTGAGAGGTCTGTAAGGAGGCGTGCATAAGAGCACCAGCATGCCTACCGTGCCTGTCCTACTGTTCCCATTTATCCATTTATTCGTACTCATTTATTATGTATATACTTACACCTGTTTATACGTATGTTTATATGTTATGACCATACTTATACTTGTTTTCTCATACATGCTTGACAAACAAACAAACAATCTGGTAATTGATCTATAAAAACATAAAGACGAAGAATGAATATTGAATATAAAGTGAAAACAAAATTGGGTACTAAGGGTGAGTTTGGATATAAATATAATGAAGAAAGGAATGAAAAAATGAAGCAAAAAGTGAGTAAAAGACATTCCTGCAAAACTTAAGAATTTAAAAAATACGCTATTCATCCTGAAACACATCTTCTGTTAGCTGATAATGGCACTGGGTCTCAAAAGAGACAGTTTAAACATATTAGAATAACTCAGTGGCAAAATATAAACAGTGTGGCAAAAACATTCAAGGCTTAGGTACCTGAAAGAAACATCATTATATAATTATTGCTGCCTGGGAGTTGCTGATGGAAGCATTCTGAATAAGATAAGATTAATAAATGCAATAATATGCATTATATGCAATAATAAAACAGCATTATTTTCCTTAAAGATTGTCTTTTCTGTCAGAGTATGGATCAGCTTCTTAAGATACTACTAAAATTGACATAACTAAAAAATATGTATAGTTGGATTTATATTATGCTAATTTAATGCAACATAAAAATATAGAGATTTTAATTTTATTGTTCTCTTTTTATTAGTACACAAACTTAGTACTGGTAATACAACATAAACAATACAAATGGTATATTCACAATGATTCCATTATATCAACAGAAGAAAGGAATATCTTTCTCATAAAACAAAAATCTTTAATAATACATAAATCAGATTTAAATCTGATTTAAATAAATATTCTATATAGCACTGTTATATGACACAGAAGTTATCCAATGCTTTTACAAAATAATACAAGAAACTGTATTTCTGTGATTACTGCTTCTTGAAGAGCTACATTCAAGTTATTAAAGGCTGTTGAATAAGTTTTTGAATAAGTTTTAGTTATTCATTTTAATAAAGTATTTTGGAAATTATTTGATAGGTTTTGATTTTGAACAGTATTTATAGATACTAAAATTATTTGTAATTGTCTGAGTTTGTAAATTATTTTAAAATAGAATGGCCAATTTAGTCAACTTCATGGTAATTACTGAACTTTTTAATTGCAGCATTAAACACATTGATTATTTTGATACTGAATATTACTAATATCATTTGGGTGGAAGGGTGGTATAGGAAGCAGGACACTAAGACACTCTGACACAAGCTCTTTCTCTGGTTTTGGGTTTGACTTTCCAGCGAAACCAGAAAGTTTTCATTCATGCATAAATCAAAAACTATCTACTTCATACTAGCTAACAATTTGATTTCTACTCCATTATTTTTGCATAACAATAACAAAGATTTTTTCTTAGAAAGTCTCAAGATTCCACATTTGAGAAAACCTTACTTGAAAGGTTCATTATACTAACCAAAACAAACTTTAGATATGTACTTAGTCAAGCTCTTTTAACTAGGTTTTCAATTTGTCTTAGATACTCTTAAGTATCTAATTTATGTTTTGATTCACAAAATCCCTTAAAATTTTCCTCATATCAATTGAAGGTAAAATCCAATAAGTACATTCTTCCTTCCTGCCATTTTTTTTCTTATCTAAATCAAAGGTTCCCATGTTTGAGAACTGCCTCAGTGGAGCTTCTGTATAATGAATATTTTATATTCTTGCTTTTGAACCCCCATAGGAATACTGGTGGCCTAGTTAAAAATAAATTGGGGAGTCCCTGTGAGAGACTCACCCAACTGTACTTTCTGCCAACCAGCTTTGATTGGAGAAGGACAAGGAAGAACTGAAGGTAAGGACAAATTAAACTATGGGCATCCTGTTCCTGTTTCACTCATATCTACACTGAATATCTGTTTCCATCTTGTGAAAGTTTTTTGTATCCTGCAGTAAAACTTTTCTTTATTAGATTCTTTCGTAGCAATCACTGGATCTGTCCAATAGAAATAGATGCAAAAGCTTCGATGAACAGTGTTTTATTAGTGTTAACACAGGCACTACATGAGAACACTTGTGGTACACACTATTTGGCTAAGTTACTTTAGATGGATAGCAGAAATATATCAGATTAGACATAAAAAGTTATATGTGCATTGATTTAGTTTACATTATCTTGTTTTGTGCAAAATCTTTTGCCTTCCTTTTGTGTCTACATTATTAGCTCATTTAAGCATAATGGAGCAGGTCTTATTTTCTAGTAATATTAACTTATATCTACTTGATCGGTATAATAAATTGATTAAACAATAAATTATTATATAAACATAATCAGACTAATTATGATATCCATTTTGATATCCATAATTAAAGATTTTTTAGAATTTTTTTACATTGACAATGCTATAGCATACATAAAATGAGAAAAAGAGATGAGGTAGAGTTGCTAAATACATAAGAATGACATAGATTATGGCACTTAGAAAGCAATTCCCAATTTTTGTCAACTTAACCATAACTTTTTGGTTAATTTTTTTTATAAATTTAACCAGAAATGTTCAAAACAAAAAATAACTACAATATCCTAATGAGTACCTCCGTTTGGATCTTCGACTTCCATATGAACCAAATCAGGATCTTCATCAACTCCATCAACAGCCCTACAAGAGTAATTAAACTGTGGTTACCAACTACAGTTTTAGGATGAATAAACTTAATAATCTATATTTAAATACTGCCAATTCTGTATTTACAGAAAATAGGCTTTATTTTCCTTGGTTTATTATTAAAATCTCTCAAAATGCAGTGCAGAAATAGATTCAAAAACACTCATGTAAAAGGAGGAATGATTTCACTATTATCCAAAAATATACACTTATTTCCTAATTTATTTCTCAAAAGCTTGATACAGTCCATGTAAATTATCTTATTTTAATTACAATGATCTCTGAAGTCAAGTTCACAACTGAGCAAGGTTTTGAACTCCTGATATTTTAAGTCTAGATACCCTATCCACTACAAAGCAAACTGTCTAAAACTATAACAAGATGTAGACATAAGATAACATGCTTTCTAACACATAATAAATACTAAATGCTGCTTATTATCTCAAAAGTATTATCTTTCCTTTAAGGCAGATCTTAAAGATTAATTTCAAATTTATACTTTCTTTGCCATGTTAGATAATGGCAGTTTTATTTTAAAAAATTCTTTTCAGAACATTACTATATATAATCATTGTCAGCAATATGAGACATTATGAGCATTGTTAATTAAAATACAGCTAATTACATTTCAAGTTAATTCATATTCCTATCTCCTCAGCAAAACCAAAGTGTTCAGAAAAACAAATACTGGAAGAAGGCAGAGCCTCCTCGCTGACAGACCGTAGATCGCGACTCTCTGCGGCTATGGTCCGTGATCTTTCATTGGAGAGGCCTGATCATTATGATTAGGGGCTGAAGCTGCCTTGGAGGGGCGGCGGAGTAAGGGGAAGCCACAAGCCAGGTTGACGGGAACCGCATTTCCCCCCCAGGGCTTGGTCTTTTCCCCCCCGAAGATGACTGCAGTGGTGTTTTAAAATGGCCACCCCGAAGAGGAGGACTGGATTAAGATTTGTGCAGGAGGGAAGAAAGAGGTGGATAACATCTGAACCGGGACAACTGGGCAATGCAACTAAACAAAAGTACCTCGGGATTAAGGTAACATGGAATTTTTAAGAAAAGAAAAGTGAGCAGCGAAATTACAAAGGGACAGGAAAAAAAAAAGAAAATATTTTTGACAGCTAAGCGGGGCTTCAAACCAGGAAAGGAAGAAGCTGGACCTAAAGATTTAACTAAATTGGACTAAAATATTTTGGGAATAAACAGGCATAAAATAAAGCTGGACTTAAGATTGTCAAAAAATAATAATAATAAAGTTTACAAATTGGAGACTGGACTGTGCTGGAATACTGAGGTTCAAAAAACCCTAAATAAAAAAATAGGGGAAAAATGTGAAGACTTTCTTTAATGGAGAGTGCCACCTTTTGAAAAAAACTTGAGCTCAAACAAAAGGGAAAACATCCTTTTTCTGAATGAACTTGTGTGGATATAACAATAAAGAAATATTGAAACAAAGTAAGAATCTTAGAAAGTGAAAGCAGAACCAGAATAAAGAAAAAAGCAAGGAAAGACTGACTGTGGGATTGATTGATGTTTTTGGTATAGACCCTGAGCTGAGAACTTTAGAAAATTGGAAGAAGAAAGAAGGAAAGTAAAAGTGTTTTTTTCTTGGTGGACTTTAACGATAAAAAAAATATAAGAGTGTGTAATGATGATATCTCTTCGGGAATTAAAAATGGAACTTGAAAATATGAGAGAATTACTACAGGAAAGAGGCAAATCACTTTGCTCTGTGTTAGAAAAAATGGAAATAGCGATTGAAGAACAAGAAGAAAGAGCTTCAGAGGAGGAGGAGTAGATTCAAGGAAAAAACATTTTAAATGGACAATTAACACAAAGAACACTACAAAGAAGTGGGGAAAGAAGGAAGGTTAGAAAGTTGAGATTTAAGAAAGCAATCAAAAGGGGGAATATCTGTGAAGTCGGGAAAGGCAGAAAGACCCAGCAGAAAAGGGGAAAGGAAGATATTAAGAAAGAGAGGGATATAAACTGGAATGAGAAAAGATATGGGGAAAAGAGGGGGAGGAGAACCAGTAAGAAACAGGTGCATGAAATAAAGAAATACAGAAATAGCAAAATGTTGAAAAGAAATGGTTTTTTCAGAGATAATGGTTGATGAATTAAAAAGGGGATTCTGCAGGGTGACAAGGGGTAATAAGAATATTTCTACAATTAAAAATATTTAGAAAATAGGGTAATATAGATACTGATAACTCTTATTAAAAATCAAGGGGGGAAAATTTGCTGCGGAATCCAAATGAAAAGATGTAATTATTATTGTAACTTCTTAAAAATAATGGTTTATTGGGAATCAAGATGAGGGAATAAAGGCATATTTTAATCATTGAGGTGTCACACTCAAAGCAGTAAAAGTGGGGAAACTTATACCTTTTTTTTTTAGTGTTAAAATTTGTATTAATCTAGAATTTATAAAAAGAATGTGTAATGGAAAGGGAATATGATAGACTAAAGAACCAACTAAATTAATAAGTTAATATGCACTATTAAAAGCAAGGAGAGACATTGGTAACTTTATTATTATTATTATCATTATTATTATTAGGCAAACATATTGTTTATCTTTATTTTTAAAATAAATATTAAAGGATTATATTTGAAATAATTGAAATGAAACAAAAAGATGTTTCAATTGAGATTAATGAAAGAGACTAGAATTAATTAATTAATTAATGTTTGTTTGTTTCTCTCCTTACTGAAAATTTGGAATGGAAAAGGTAATAATAGAATTAAGTATGTATATATGAATGTATAATTGCTGTCATATTTGTATGTAAAGGTGATGACCCGGAAACATGTTGTCCACTAAAAAGAGATTTTTGTTTTTAATGTGAAAAACTGAATAAAGTTTGTTAAAAAAAAGAAAAACAAATACTATTCTTTTTTTTAGATAAAGTTTTTTTATTTTTAAACACATACACATACAAAAACATAAAAATATAAAATCCTCTTCCATTTTATATACATGCAGTGTGTCAGTTGGTTACGTATCTTTTGTGCTATACTTTTGTAGTCATTTACTCACAATTTATATCAGTCTTCACATTGTCAAACTAACATATGTTTATATATTTATCAGTTATTAATCATCTATGACTAAACTATTTATTCCATTGTTTTATACGAGATGTTCCAAGTTTTATCTTAAAATTTATGTTATACTTTCAACCAGTGGTTATATATATCTATATTATGTTTTATATCAATTTATTAGATTTCTATCACAAAATTATCTAGTCTATTATATTACCATGCCTTTTTATCCAACCATTGATAAAACAAATCCCATATCATATAAAATTGCTTATCTTCTTGTTCTCTAATTTCAAATGTCAGTTTACTCATTTCAGCACAGTCCATAATTTTTTTGATAACTTCCTCCTGCATAGGTATTTTGTCATTTTTCCAGTTCTTCGCAAATACAATTCTAGCTGCTGTTAAGACATTTACAATCAAATATTTCAGTTCTTAATTGTATATGTCTGGTATGACTCCCAATAAAAAGATCTCTGGTTTAAAGTCTATATGCTGTTTTATCATTTCTTCCAACCATGTGTGGATTTTAGTCCAATATTTCCTTGCATCTGAACATGTCCACCACGTATGGTAATATGAACCAGGTATCTGATGACATTTCTAGCATTTATTCTTAAACATTCTCGCAAGTCTCATTGGTGTCACCTGTAAAACATCTTATACAAATTTTCTTTATATGCAGTTGACATTGTTATTTTGTAATTTTGAGACCACAATTTTTGCCATTTTTCCAAATCAATCCCATATCCAAAATTTTTCCCCCAAGCAATCATCGTTTTTTTAACTTGCTCCTCCTCCAATTTAAATTCTAATAGATATCTATAAAGTTTTTTAATTACCTTTTCATCAGTACAAATCAACATTTTATCTACGTCAGTCAACTTATCATAAATAATTTCTGCCTTGGAGTCTTTATCAAACCTAGATTGTATTTGCAATTAAGAAAACCAATTCATTTTTACACCTTATTCTTGCAATGTTTGCATAGATTTAAGTTTACCCTTTTCATTCAATAACTCCCCATATCTAACTGTTTGTTCCTTTTTATATAATTATTGGATAAGAAAAAGCTTCAATAGTTGATATCCATGTTGGAATTTTTAAGTAATATTGTCTTTTAATCTTCTCCCAGCTCAAAAACAATGCCTCATGAATATAATGTCTTCTAAAATACCCCTGTGTTTTAGTTCCCTTATACTAGAGAAAGGCATGCCACCTGAGCAGCAAGTCGTGGCCTTCTAAAGTCAACAATCTATTGTTCCTTAGTGTTATCCATTCCTTTACCCACATCAAACTTGTCGCCTGGTAATACAGCTCCCAACTGGGCAAGCAAACTCTCCTCTTATTCTTGCATCTTGTAACAGCTTTAATTTTATTCTTGCTTTTTTACCCTGCCAAATATATTTCAACACAATTCTATTTAAACCTTTAAAAAACTCTTTCCTAATCGAATAGGAATTGTCTGGAATAAGTATAAAACTCTAGGCCAGGGGTCTCAAACTCAATTTACCTGGGGGCCGTTGGAGGCAGAGTCTGGGTGAGGCTGAGCCGCATAAGGGATTCCACAAAAAACGTTGTTAAAAAAATATCCTCAAATGTCATCAACAGTTAATGATTTCTCCAATACATGAACTGTCCTGAACACATGAATGGAACACTGAATGGAGATCATGAACAGTTCCTCAGAACATGGCTTCTCCAGCTTACTCCTCTGCTGCCAGAGACTTGACAACGCTTCCTCTCACATATCTGAGCCACATTTGGCTTGAGAGAGGAGGCACTTGAGACCCTCAGTATGGCTTGAAGATGATCATCAGTAAGTCTGGACCTGTACTTGGACTTGTTAAAGTTCAGGATGGAGAAGAAGTTTTTGCACAAATATGTGCTCCTGTAAAGGTACATGGTCCACTTGAACAGTCGGAAAAGCTCAGGGAAGCTGGGGG